CAGTGAAGGAACACTACCCAGTGAATGAACATTTCATATATATTGATTAAAAATAAGAATTTGAAAGTTTTTCTTTAGACTGATTGGTAACAATAGCTTACTGCCAAACAATAGGAAGTCATCTAGCAATGTTTTAGATTACCTGGTCAAATAGACTTCTCTGGAAAAAATTTTGAATTTGTTATTATCTCTGCAACACCTTGTTTTGTTGAAAAAATTATAAGGTGAGTGTTTGTATTTATATGTCTGAAGTGGAATTAATTGCATGTAATAGTCTTATTTTTCTCAGTGTGAAAAAGAGAATTCAAAATATAGTTATTGAAGTTAGGTTTCATTTTTTTAAAAGCACCATAGCATAATCAAGTACTGAGATAAGGGGGTGTTTATTCACTGGATCACCAAACGATGAAAAACCAGTGAAGGAACAAGTGTTTCTTTACTGGGTTCTTTTTCCAGTTAATGAAAATAAAAGAAATTTTTTAATTTTCTTGTACTTTTAGTCATATTATACATCAAAATTCTGTTTAAAAGACAAAAAACAACTTCTAACCAGTGAAGAAACAGGCATGTTCATTCACTGGGAATACTTCCAGAGAATGAACAGTAATGTGTAAAATATGATTTTATATGACTCTTACATGAAAAATATGTATAGAAAATATTTTCTTGATTGAATCAAAAAAGTGAACAACAAATTCATGTTATTAGAACATTAATGTATATTGGGGTAGAAATTAAGAAGATTTAGTCACTAGTCCAAAGGACTAATAACTAAAACAACAGAAATAATACCAAAACAATTAACATTGATTGCTAGTTTAGAAACACAAACTATTTATTTTATAAAGGTCCAAGTCATATTTAAGTTACCACTAATTTTGTGCCCTATATATAATATCTATAAACACAAATTGAAATCTGTTAAAGAAGTTCCCTTTTAAAAAGCTTTACATTACCATTTAGATTTCTATTTCCACAATGGTAAATTAATATTTTCAAAAAGTTTTGTTTTCAACTGTTAAGAAGATAGTAATTTTCTTTTCAAAGCATGGAAAATCAATCAAAGAAAATAGACTTAAGTTTTTAGAAATGAAATTAAGCATGGCAAAAATCTATGGATTCTGGGAGAAAAAGTTTTAGGTGGTCTTAAATGTGTGGTCACTTTTTTCATTGACCTTCACACTTAATTCAGGAAAACATGTGTTATGAAAAGTGTAGAGAGAATAAGCCATCAGAATAGTTCGTCAAGTAAGCGGGGGTATTGTATGAGCAGAACGTGAAGAAATAAGTAGAAAGGAAATGTTACAAAAATTCTTAGTTCATTTGATGTTATAAAAGGTTTAGAAAGATACTAAAAACTTGGACAGTTTTCCACAATATATTGCATAGGAAAAGAAGAAACAATAAATTCTACTTGATTTCGTTTAGAAGAGACACTTAAGTACATATTTCCTTCATGGATGTTTAAGTCTGTAATATGTACATTAAATTTTATTAATGCAATATGGGTCAGATATTATAACTTTCAACTCAATTAAAAGCTGTTCCTTTCTCATGAAAAACTCTTTTAACAGGTTTAACTGTTATAAAGATAAAAAGCAACCAACTGACTCATTTTAGCTGTAATGTTAATAAAGATTAGAACCGGAACTACCTAAGCATAAAATGTGTCCAACAAAAATTATGCCTATGCATATTATATATTTTAAATGAAAATTACATGCAGTTACATAAACACTACAGAAAAAGGAATAACAGGAAAAAAGCAAATTTCAAGCTCAATTAGCAAACTCTAAAGTTTACTTGTTCTTCAGGAGGTGTTGCTGCTGTTGTTTTGCACCTTCAATTTCTACACAAAGCCAAATATAGCACAAAGAGTAAAGGTACAAAAGAAAAGAGTAAAGAAAGAATTGCGCTAACACAAATTATAAAGAAGGTATACACGTAGATCAGAAATGATTGAAGGTTGAAAATTTACATTCAGGATGCAGTTTTAAAAATTAGCAAGTTGTTTAAAGTAATAATTATCTTTAAAACAAAGATAGAAAACACTATAAGATTATATTAATATTAATTTTTACTTATAATAATGAATATGTAAAATATTCATTTAAGAGAATATATAAATAAAACTTAATTGAAAAAAACTGATGAAGTCCCTTAAAGTGATGATGAACTTAACATTTTTGGATGAATCCTATACTTTTCAAAACATTTTATTTTATGCTTTTTATTTTATAGTTTTTTAGCAAATTAGCAATCTTTGAGTCCCCATAGTGCAGAACATGACATAAACTGCTTGATTTCAAATGCAAAAGTCACCAAGCAATGACAATTCTATTTTGAGAGAGAGATAGGCCGAAAGGAATAATTTCTCAAGTACTAAAGCATGTTGTTACACTTCTTTATTCTTTCCTTTCATTTTGGTTAAAATAAATTTCTGATTTAATTCTGCAAATTTAATTTTGCTTTAACTAGAATAGAAACATCTGTATTCTTCACAACTATATCCTAATTTTGCTATAACAAGAAAAAAGGACATTTTTGAAAAAAAAATGAATAAAGCATAGATGAATTTGATTGACAAAATTTTTACGTATTATTCCCTTATTTTTAAACACGAAGTTATTAATTTTAAGAGAAAGCTTCTTCTATACATAATTTATATATAAAAATACATTTAAAGCAAAAGTTCATTTAATTCTAAAAAAGTTTTCAGTGAATAATATCACAGGCTTAATTAGCTTCAAAAATTAAAATGATTGTTAGATATATACGTCAGCAATATTTTTCTTTTTTTTAAAAAAAAATTTGCATATTTTTGCTTTAAGAAAAATACTTGTGAAGCATTTTACCAAACCTCTGTATTTTTCACCAAAAAACAAATAAAGGAAAAATAAAATAAAGAAATTTCAGCAACAGCACTGGAAAAGAAAAGTCCTATCTTGATGAAATCAAAGTAGACCTGATACATGCATAAACACATTTTTTGCCTTTTGACATGAAAATATACAGTACACGCACTAATATTTCTAAATTTAAACTGTTGTTGTTCATTTACGTCGCACAATGGGCTATTGGCGACACTTTGGGAAACATCCCTGAGGATGATCCAAAGACATGCCATCACAATTTTGATCCTCTGCAGAGGGGATGGCAACCCCGCTTCGGTAGCCCGAAGACCTCCACGCGAAGTCGAGCACTTTACAGTAGAACAGTTTAACGAGGACCAATACCGCACACCTTCAGTCCCTACGCACACTGATCCAAGTGGTCATCCACCCACACACTGACGGCAGCCAGTGATGCTTGACTTCGGTGATCTGCCGGGAGCCGTGTCTTAACGATCAGTCCACTGTGGGACTAAATTTAAACTGTTAAAACTCACTTCAGAAAAATAAAGTGTTTCAATGGAAAGAACTATTCATTGCTATTGTATGTCCTGGTGCATAAGTCAACTTTTCAAATTCCAAAAATTTTAAAAAAATCAGGGGATTCGATTTTGGTATAGTTCATTCACCAGGAGTTGACACTTGGCTCCGCCTCCATCAAGTGATTTTCCGACGATACTATTTTGCTATTTTTGAGGAAAAGGATGTAAACAAACCTGGTCAAGGTTGGTATTTGGTAATCGCATGAGAAAAATAGTTATTTCAAAATTTTTATGTGTATTTTTTTTAACACTAAATATTTTCTAAATTTCATGATATTTCTCTCTTTTGAGTGAAAAGTGTCTTTTTTGAGACATTTTGCTGCAGCAGTTTTTAAATGTGAAATATAATTAATTAACTAGAGTAACAAAAGGTATAATAGCAGATGATAAAGAGAAGTAAGTGACTGAAAAAGAATTCACTGTTTGCAATTGGCGCGCATTAAGGGTTGTCTCAATTTTATGTGCGAAAATTTTTCTCCTATCCTGCGCAAAAATTAACTCTGCGTCCGAGTAGGTGGAGCCATGTGCCAACTCTTAGTGAACCAGTTATAGTAAAGTTGGGCATTTGTTGAATATGAAATATTCACACATTATAAACAATAAGACATGTATGAATAACTCAGTATCAATTTACTCCTTTCAAAACCCTTTTTTTACTAAATTATATAGAATTAATTCTGTATTTTCTCTCACATTTTTTTTATATATATAGATTTTTTTAAAAAACAATTCCTTAAAATACGTTCTGAAAAATTAAGATTAAGAAAAGTTTATGTATTTCGAAAAATATAGCACAATGGAAATTTTTAAGACATACCATAAAGCTACAAATTTAAAGATTTCAGATCATCATCTGTCAGATTCTGTAACATTATCACTGTCTTTCTTCGGATCTCACATTTAAAACTTCACCTGCTGAGTCTTACAGAAAATAAGTTTAACCCCCATCCATAGAATTTGTATTTCCACATTTTTAAAAAGACTTTACAATAACAATTGAATTTATATTTTAGAGATAGTCTCAAATATCATCTTTACTTGAGAGTAAATGTATAATATTCAGAGAGATTTAATAATTTTACTTATCTATTTTCTAATTTTAGAAATTTTTATATTTGGTTTACACAGTGGTTGACTTATACACCTGACAGAAGAAAAACAATTTGCCAATGACTGGATTGCTTCAGCTGGAATTTTAAATTGATAAAATAAAAAATTCTAAAATCGCAGAAGTTTAAAAGATAATTCGCTCTAGAAATAATGTTTTTTCCTTCATTTTTTTAAGAACACCATAATTCTTAAAGAACATGATAAAAACACTTTATATTTTGATCAAATATGACTGTGAGTGGGGATTTTGTTAAAAATTCAGATATTCAGAACATAAAATTGGTGGGCGGGGGTAAATTCCATTTCAAAAATTAAATTTTTCAATGACCTAAATCCATGATTTTTTTTAAAAAATATGGTTAAAATCATGACAAATTTTGTTCAATACCAAAATTCTTGACTTTCCAGGTGCTTATACTTAAAAAGCTAGTACTACCCAAATTTGCAAATAATTTACCTTCAATTTTGGCTTGTTCTGATATTCTAGAGCTGCATTTTCTTAAAATTTTTTAATAACTGCTCTGAATTCTTCTGGAAAAGCTGGAGTTACGAAGTCTTTCATTAAAACCTAGAATTGGATTTTATTAGTACATATAAACACTGAATCTATTATCGATAGAGGTTTAATGAATAATTTACTGTAAAGTATATACAGTGGTCAGAAGAAGTCGAGAAATTACCGTAATTGCTAAATTTTTTGTAGATTGCAATGAAGTACGCTATTTTTTAAAAGAAGTAGTGTAGTGAATAGGTAATAAAAAACAGTACATTTAAGATTTTCCTGGTACTTTTTGGATGCTTTTAATTACAATGAAACTTCACCAGGTTTCACATTAATTTATTAAAAAAGTAAAGTTAAAACATATCTAATTTTTTGAATCTGATTGGTCATCACAGGTTTATCAATTGACACAATGAGAACGTCACTGTGCTCACGGGTTGATGAAAATTACATCTCCAGCTCTAAAGCTGAAAGCTTTTATCAAATCGGAAATTTATTTCATACTTTGCAAGGTTTTTCATTTAGTATTCCGCAGAATGCATTGGAAATATGTGAAATATGAATCGTGCTCTACTATGTTACTAAGAAATTTTTTTTTATCAGCTTCAGAAAATAANTCTTTCCATCGCATATTAATGGACTCTGAAGGATTAAAATTTTGATTGGAGGTATTTTAATGAAAATTCTGTTTTCTGAGAGTTACTTTCTGCATTGATGCACTTTCATCATTCAATTTCGAAAAGAAAAACGATGGGGGAAAAGTAACCGGTTGGTTATTAACTTTAAGTCAACAATTTTTTGTTATCTTCAGGTCTAGTTCCTGGTATAATGCTTATTGTAAAAAGTAATTTTAACTGAGGAAATGTTTCATGTTATTTATAAAAGAATCGAGCATCTAAATATCCTTACATGTATAAGTAAGTATTTTAAATAACATGTTAGGCATAGCATGTTTAAATAATTTGTAAGGCAAAAATATGGGAAAGTCTTCAAAAGAAATGTCTGGAGAAGACCAAGGCCCACCCAGGACTAATGAAGAGAAAGAAGAAGCAAATCTACAAATAGTGCCAATGAAGTTTTTGACATTCTATTTTTGTAAGCTAAACATTTTACTTTTTGATTAGAAAAAAAAAGTTAAATCTATTCTTAAAGCAACAGAAGTAGCTTTTAGCTTTCATTTTAAATATATGTATTTCCCTAGAAATACGTATATACAAGTAATATATATATTTCAAAGTAAGATAAGAAAACTAGTAAAGAATAAAGAAAATTTCACATACCCTCTCCAACAAAGTTCAGTTTTAAGTGCACCCTCAATCGACCGGAGGGGAAACCGAAAAAACCGAAAAAAAAAGTTAACTGGCCAAAAAATAGAAAAACATAGCAAAATGCCTTTTGATTGAAAAGACAAATGAATGATATATAGTTATATTTACAACATAATTGAAACTCTGTAAAAACATTGGAAGATGCTCTACTATGTTATTAAGAATTTTTTTTTATCAGCTTCAGAAAATAAAACAAGGCAAAATATGAAAACTAATATTTTTCGCAAAGCACTCTATTAGAACATAAACAAGCCTATCTCATATATCAAAGAAGATATTGGTGAGATATAACAAAGTAGGTTTAGTTTCACAAATAGTTAAAGAGAGCTAAATGTAAAAATTAAAAAAAATATTTACAAAATCTATAGCCTTAAATAGTTATTTAACACAATATTTATCACACAGTAGAGGATTACTTTTACATTTGTGGTTGGTTTTTACACTG